CCCCCAAAAGGCACCTGCTACCACCTCCCCTCCCCAACAGCTGCCAGAAGCACCTATGAAGCAGGAAGCCTCATCAGCCTCTCCCCCGTGAGCGATCTTCTGCCCGTCCAGCAGGCCCAGGATTCTCTTGAAGTGACGCTTGTTGACAATCCTTTCGTAATCCGGAGACGACTTCACGTCTTCCCCATAGAATTCCTGCCAAAGGGCACAGCAGAACCGAAGCGCTCAACAAACCTTCACAACAACCACAGCTCCAGGGCTGCAGCTACAAAACTCAGACCTGGCCTGTAACGGGGACAACTCCCACAGCACGGGGAACTCCACGCTCACCTGCAGAGTCACCTTGATGTTCTCCACCACTTTGCTCTGGATGGAAGGGTCACAGAGGATGTAGTCCCCAGCCCCCACAGCCCAGCCAACAAAGCCTGCGTGACACCCGCAGTCTGGGGACAATGGCCCAGAGATGTCCAAGTGCCCCACGGGGTCCCTGCCCCACCATTGAGCCCCTGCCAAGAGTTTGCAACAGCCCAACCTGCGAACCACATCCAACACACAGTCCTTGTCGATGTAGCAGGGGCTCTTCCTGCCCAGCTCCAGGGTGACGGGCGTCAGGTGCTTGGCGGCCACTGCCATCACGATTTTGCCCGCTGTGGAGTTGCCGGTGTAGAGGATGTGATCAAATCTCTGGGTCAGCAGCATTGTCATTTCAGCTGCCCCCCTGCTCACCACGAGGTACAGCTCCCGTGGGGCAAGTGTGTCGGGGTCACCCCAACCCAGTGCATCCCCACAGCGCAGAGAAACCCAGGGAGCGATGCGGGGCCTCACTCACTTGGTCAAGGTACTGGGGAAGGAGATCAGACACCAGCTGAGCCGTGTTCTCGCAGATCTCCGACGGCTTCACCACCACAGCATTGCCTACAAGACAAATGCAGCACGGCCACTCAGCCCTCGTGCTCCTCTCCCGCCTCCCACAGCCCCACGAAGGAGAGGGGCTGCGGTGGGTCCCCACCTGCTGCGATGGCACCGATCAAAGGCTGCATGACCAGGACGAAGGGGTAATTCCAGGCCCCGATGATCAGCACCACCCCCAGCGGCTCAGGGCAGACATAGGCCTCGTCCCGCATCGTCAGCAGGTCCTTCTGCGCAGGTCAAGGTCCATGATGGCAGCTTGTCCATGGCCAGGGCCAGCTCCTTCAGCACGCCCAGGATCTCATGGCTGTATGCGCTGGGCCCACACTGCAATGACAGGGAGCTTGGGGAGGGGATGGTGAAGGCACCCACCTCCCGCACCCACCACGGCAGCCCAGGGAGGCAGGGCAAGGTCATCTGGGACCGGGGGGACATCAGCAAAAGCCATCTGGCACGGCAAAGGCAGCCTTTGGGGTTGCTGCTTTCTTGAAAGCTGACCACTGTCCATGCACAGCAGAAGGGAGAAACTCCCAACCAAGCCAGACCTTGTGCAGATCCACCCTGATGGCTGCCAGGATCTCCTTCTCCTTCTCCTGCACCATCCGCTCCAGGGCCTTCAGCTGCTGCATCCTGAACTCCAGCGAGCGGCACCGGCCTGAGTTGAAGGCGGCTCTCGCCTGTCCAACGATCTGCTGCATCCTCTCCATGGCTGCTCAGCGCTGCGGGGAGAGAGCAGCAAGACCCAGGTCATTGAGGGCTGCTTAGGCCTGGGAACACTCAACATGGGGCCACCACCAAGAGATGTCCCACACGGAGCAAGGTTGGGAGATGTCCTCCTCGGGTGACCTCCTGCTCCCAAGGTGACTGCTCAGGGCTCCCACCCTCCGATGCCCCGTCCTACCTGCGCAGGGTCCACCAACAGAGGGCACCTCTCACGGCAACCCAGCATCTCTGGGGATGGCTGATAGATCCTGTTCTGCGGGTGCTTTCTCCTAGCTCGGAGATACCGTTAAACCCACCAGCCACCCTACCCCTCTGCTCACAGGGATGCTCCTGAGGAGCCAAAACATGGAGATGACCGTGGCCTTGGTGGGCAGCTGGCTGGAAGCAGCAGAGCTGTGTGCCTAGACCCAGCCTGCACCCGTCTTCCCCGTAACTGCGAGGCCCTCGTGTGGCATCGCAGAAACATGAGGAAAGGTTGCAGCGGTTTCATCCTGCTTCCCGGGAGCAGTCCTTCGCTTTTTAGTCAGGACAAGAGATCTGCCTGCAGTCCCTGCCTAACCATAGGAGACACCAAGGTTCCTTTGCAACCGTTAAAATCTGCCCTTCCCTGCCCGCTGCCACAGCTGCATGCCGCAGCCCCGATCCTGACCGAGAAAGCAGATGACTCATTAAAAAATGAAGGAAAAAAGAAAGTTACCTTCAGAGAAGCTTCTCTCTCTACCAGTCTCCTGCAGCGAGTGCAAGCAGGCGCAAGCCCTTCCCCTGACATGGCTCAGGGCGACCTCTCCTCCCACAAGAGGACAGCTGGCCCAGGCCCAGGGCTCTCGCTAGGTACAAGATGCCCTTTACCCAGATATATCCTCGCGCTGTGAACACGCAAGCCCTGGATCACCGCTTTCAGCCGGGGCAGTGACTCAGCCGCCCATGCGGGATTGTGAGAGACCACGTGGCTTTGCCCATGTTGGGCACACGAGGCCGGGGCAGCGCTTTCGCATGCCGCAGCAGCCGTCGGGAGCCAACAAACGCAGCCCGCGCTATCGTCTGGATCTGAACAAACCCTGAACGGGCAGCGCCTGCTGGTGGAAGGCAATCAGGGGATGGATTTGCACAGGACAGGAGGAGAAACAGTCCAGCTCCTCCACAGCTCCCAGCGCCGCCTCGCCCCGCGCCCTGCCTGCCTCCGGGCACCTCTTCGGCAGCCTGCCTGTGCTCCCCTGCCAGAGCTCTGGGGGATCCTTCCCCACGAGTGGGCAAGCCATCGCGCTGGGCACCTGCGCTCCTGCACTGGGGCAGAGGCACCTCGCAACACACGTGTGACGTTCGGCCAAGTCGTGGCCAGAGCCAGGAGCAGCAGAGGACGGGCAGGATTCCCCAGGAGACTGCAGGGACTTCCCACGCTCGGTTTATTATTTAAATTCTCAGTGTTTATTTAGTACTTGCAAAATATATCATTAAAAAGGCTTAGCACATGGATTTTCACTAGACATGAAGAAATTCCACCTATTGCACAGTAAATATAATTTTCTACTCTATAGCGAGTAATTGCATTTAATTTTTAAATTTACCTTATTTAAACATTAATGTTTCTAAGGTCCTTTCATCTTACATTTCTCCAGCATCCTCTCCCCAAGCTAGAACAAGCCCTATATTATCTCCTAGTGCAAGATTATAGCAGACCCAGAAGCTCAAACATGAAGGAGTACACGCTCTTTCAGTAATTGTTTTCCCTCAGAGGAATCTGTCCAGGAATGGGTTTGTACTGGTTTTGGCTGGGATGGAGTTAATTTTCATCATAGTCGCTAAGTTTCTTCACAGTAGGATGGTGCTGTGTTTTGGATTTGTGACCAAAACAGTGTTGGTAACACCCCCGTGTTTCAGCTGTGGCCGAACAGTGCTTGCACACCGTCAAGGTCTCCGTTTCTCACCGCCCCGCCAGCACGTAGGCTGGGGTTAGCAAGAAGCGGGGAGGGGACACGGCTGGGAGAGCTGACCCCAATGACCAAAGGGATATTCCAGACTATATGACGTTGTGCTCAGTGATAAAAGCTGGGGGGAAAAGAAGAGGAAGGGGGAGGACATTAGGAGTTATGGCATCTGTCTTCCCAAGTCACCGTTACATGTGATGAAACCCTGCTTTCCTGGGGATGGCTGAACATCTGCCTGCCGAGGGGAAGTAATGAACGGATTCCTTAATTTGCTTGCTTGCACGCCCAGCTTTCACTTTACCTATTAAACTATCTTTATCCCAACCTACAAGTTTTCCCCCTTTTACCCTTCCGATTCTCTTCCCCGTCCCACTGGGGGAGTGAGTGAGCGGCTGGGTGGGGCTCAGATGCCCACCTGGGCTAACCCACAACAGGGTACTCTGTGATTCCCACTTCTCTAAACAGGCCTGAAAGTTCTTTTGTATGAGCATAAGATACTCTTATCAGCAAAATACAGGCAGTGCAGGTATCATCTTTGTAATTTTCTAACTGCCAAATAATTGTTACAGGCACGTGATGAAACCCAGAGCCCAAAAAGGGTGTCAGCCTGCATCCCCTGACCAGCTGTGGATGATTCTGGTTCGCAGAGATCCGTGAATATTTCACCTCAATTAAACGGCAAGGGGAACCTCACTAGGTTTATTCATAACCATCACTATTGGCAAAATGCATCAGCCAGCACAGCCTGTCTCAGACTCGTCACCAAGAGGGTGGTTGTTCGGAGCACAGCAGAAGACAGACCATCCCAAAAACTGCAGGGAAAACACTGTCAACCCAATCACAGCTGAAACTTAAGCTCCTGTTTGTCACTGAAGGAAGGTAAGCGGTTTGGTGCAAGGCACAGTGTGCGCGTCCCTGGAAGCAGCGCTCTGCATGGCATGGGGTGGAGGTAGGGACTGGTTATTTCTTGCTCTGCAGTCCTCCTTTTGAGAGCTTGTACCCACTGGTCCCTCTGTTTCAGCATGGCTTTTTAGTAAACAGGAGTCCGAGCCTTCTCTTGGTTAGTACCTCTCTAAGGCTACTCTGCGTGCTCGACAGCTCATTGAAATAACCCAGTACAAAAGAAAAAAATGACTTCTCAGCTTAAGGAAACAGACACAAAGCGAGCACTCAGAGTATGACTTGCACATGGCGCCTTCTCCTCTCTTCAGTAGTAAACCATCTGTGAAAGCAAAACACAACACCAACGTCCTGTGAAGGATTTGCTGAAACAAAACCAACTCCCTTTCTAGAACAGCCTGAAGCAAAGCCCCTTCACTCAGGGTGACTTCCCCAGGGTCCGGCTCGCCTGCCTCCTGCCCCCTCGGCATGCACTGACTGCTGGTTATCTTGGATGCTGTACGAGCTCCGAGCACTGCCAGGGAAAGCACTGCTCTCTGGCTCCAGGGGGAACCTTCTGCAAGCCCCACATTCACTACTCTAACAAGGCTTTGCCCGATCTCAAATCGGGTCTACACACAGGAGAAGAAAAAGGCTCGTACCTCACTGTGACAGCCACAGCAGTGCTCTGAAACCTCCTCTTTATCACACACTGAGCCAGCCCAGCCTCTGAACAGCCAGCACAATCAAGAGGGCTTTTCTCTTCAGCACAGACTGGTGATTCTGAGAAAACCCAAATGATTTCAAGATGCCATGAGTTTCCTCCTCTTCCCTGAGAAGGCATTCACCTAGATGGGGTCTGCCTCTCTGGCTGGTGCTTCGAGGCCTAAGCCAGTTGTTGGCTCTTACGCCTCCTCCTGGACTCAGATATGCAGGCAGGTTATCTCCCCCTGCTTGTTGGGCTCCTGCACGTCTCCTTGCAGCAGTAACACCACAGAACAGACTGAAGGGCAGAGTCCTGAGCCACCCTGCCATCTCCTGTCCCCTCAGTGGCTGCTCCCTTAAGCCTACTAAACCCCCAGGATGCACAGTTGAGGTTTGCAAGGAGCAGCCAACGCAGGCACACATAGTGCCCGTTCTGCCAGCCACAGAGAACCACCAGTGATCACACTTGTAGTTTCAGATCTTACCCCACCACCTCAGAAAGCATCATGAGTCCTCCGGCCAGCACTAGCAGGCTTCTGCCTCCCGCAGAGAGGGGAGGACATCCCACCCTTCCGCACTACCCAGCCAGAAACAGGGGAGGAAACGGACATAACTGAGATAAGGTCAGATGGGGGCTGCAACTGGGCAAGGAGCAAGAGCTCGCCATAGACCTTGGCTTTAGGACACAGCCTCCCTTCCCCCAGGGCCCTGCAGCACAAAACCACAACCGGCTGGGCTAGGCTGTGGAGCAGCTCACAACATCGCTGAAGAACGCCCGGGAATTGAAATCACTCTTAAGAGACCTGTCCAAAATGTACCAAAGTCTGCCTGTGGACGGAGCTTCTCACAGGTGTCACCTACCAAGGCAGAGCAACAAATAGTCCAGCAGCCTAGGAGATTTCTCTGAGGACATTTCTATTCTAGACAGCACTTGCAAGAGCGAGAAGCAGATCTTGATAATTTCAGGTGGGACAGATATCACGAGTATCAAGACAGAAAAAACAGGCCAGGCTCTAAGAAAGGACTGCAGTTGCAAAGAGGGAACTTACAGAAAATCAGATGAATTACACATACACTCATGTAGATGGCAAAGAGCCAAAGCTCACCTTTATCATCACCACCGCTGCCACAATCCCCAGCAGGGCGAAGATGACCAGTCCAATTTGGCCCTTGTTAAACCGCTTCAAGAGGAAGAACTTGGCCCAATCCACCTTCTTCTGGCTGCCAGGTGGGTACCGGAGTTTGTGCATAACCTCCATCTTCAGGTCCCTGATCAAGCAGGCGCGGCGGTGGGAGAAGGTCTCAAAGCTGTGCTTGCCATGGTAGGCGCCTATCCCGCTGTTACCTGAAGGACACAACCCAGGCAGGTCACACCACAGGCTGCGCCAGTCAAACCTTTGGCCACTTGAGGCCACCAGCAGGGCAAGAAGCAGCACAGGAAAATTCCAGTTGCTTGCCAGCTGCAG